TAATCCACTGGGGGAATCTGGGTGCCTTGGTTTCGCTACATGTCCAGCATCATCCTCCAAGACTGTCCTAGCATCACTCTAACCACCAGTCTTGGTGCTGACAGCTCTTTCAGAGGTCTTGTTTGCTGTCCATTTCTTCCAGTCTTCACCCACTTTCTGGACTACCTCGACGTCCAGCAGTTTTCTCTCATCCAGCTCCACTGTTGGCACTGGAGCTTCCACCCCCCCGGGGCCCAGGGACCCTGCAGGTGGTGAGACCTTCTCTCTCTCTCACTACCCCTGGGAGAACAGACCATATTTTGGGAGTCCCACTCTCAGATCAAGGTTCAGCTCCGATCAGAGCACTCCTCAGCCCCTTTCATCCCATATCTGAGTCAGGGGAATCTTGTAGGACCATTCTGCTACTGCTCCAGTCGCTCAGCGATGCGTGGCACGTCGGGTCAGTGCCTGACTCCTTCACCCTGGTTTCAGGCCACTTTAACTGAGAGCTTTTTCCTCGCAGCCAGCATGCTTCTCCCACCCCTGGGCTGAGGACCTGGGTACCTCTTTGCTCTTGAGAAGACTCACTGCAGCCCTGGGACGTTTGGGAGGCTATCACATAGTTTTTCCATTGAATTAAAAGCGTGGCGTGAACTCTGCAGTGAGTCAAATCGTAATCCAGTTTGCTGCACAGCTTTTTGTAGTTGATCCACCTCGCCCTCTCTGTTGTGAAACACAGAGGCTGCGGCATCAAAGACAACCTGCAGCATCAAAGACCCTGCTTAATGAGATATTGGCCAAGGTGCCGACATCCATCACCGTCTCCACAGGTAGTTGTGGATGTCCAAAGAAGATCCTGAAGCATCCCCTCTCTTCCACAGGAAGGATCTCGGAGGAGCTTTATGGAAGAGTACAGTTACACCCTGCACTCTGCAGCAAATGCTGGCCAGATACAAGATGCTCACTGCCAAATTTGCCCATGAATGCTGCAGATTCTCTTCAGTGATTAAATCACCGTGGGTTGTTTTTATTTTTTTAGCAGAAATGCAGCCCACAGCTTCACTCAGTACCCTCCAGTGTTGTCCCTGACTTTCTGATTCAGGCTTCTCTGGGATATTCAGCTGCTGAGGATTGTCGCACAAAGGTCGCTCACCTTTTAGCATTGTAAAGAAAGAGGCTGCAGATTTGTCCAAAGACTCCACAAAGCTATGCTTTGCTAAAGGTGTTCCCCTGGGACTCTGGGAAGCAGGCCACCGCCAGATTCTCCTCAGCCCCACATCAGAGACCTGTGGTGACCCAGGCACTGCCCATTCAGCAAATCCACTAAAAAGGACCTTTTCAAAAGTAAAGAGCCTCCCAATAAATGTCAGGCAGCCAGCCACTCTTAACACTTGTACAGAGGCACATTTTGGCTTTGCCAAGACCTACTGGGAGATGTGAACTTTCTCTTTTTTAAATCCTCTTCTCCTCAGCCCTTTTTGGGACCTGTCACCTCAGCTAAACAGATCCCTCCTCCAAGACCACTCTCTGATGCGCAGGGTACCCCAGCCCTGGGGAGACAACATGCTGCTTCCAGGCATTGCAGAGGGACAGAAGGCTGGAGCAACCACTTCCTCCCACGAGCGAGGAATAACATTTGGTACCCACCCTGGACTTAGAGAAGCTGAGTAATTTCATACAGATCTCAGGGACAGTGCCTTGGTAGAAATCATCATGACCCTTTGTGGGGGAAGACTAGTTTGCTTCCCTCTACCTCAGGGAATGAGGAAATGCCTATTTCAACGCATTTCCACAGTGTGCATCTCACACGAAGCCTGCTAAGCTGTGACCACCAGCTCTTTCTGCTTCATGGTTCTGCTGCTTGGCCCCTCCACAGGCACAAGGTGTTGACTCGGGAACCACTGTGTCTGTCCCAAGTACCCAGAGAAGGGCAGCTCCATCACTTACCCCTTGGAGCTGAGTTTAACTCTCTTTTAGCTCCCTGAGCTTCCCAGTCAGTGCCAGGAGTCTCAGTTAATCCCAGTCTCAGCCCTGAAACCCCATTACCTGTCCAGGTGCCTGTCGAATACCAACCTGCCCAGCAGCTACATCCCCTGCCAGACCTTTCCTTCTGCCTCCCCAGGCGTGGCTGCTTTCTGTCTACAAGTCCCTTGCCACAAAGTTATTAGTTACGCTTATTAGTAACTAACTTCTTTTTTGCTGGTTATGTTTGCTTTAGCTCTGGGCAAACAGCAATCAGGAGGTTTTAAAGGAGGTCCTTTTGGTGAGCACCCTATCTCAGGAACACCCAGGCCAGCCCGATCTCAAGCTGCCCAGCTGATAACCCAGCCTTCCAGTCACGGCGCGATTTCTCAGGTCAGTCAAAGGTCTGCAGATAAATTATAGGGCACCTCAAAAAGTAAGCACGAAGCAGAAGATGACAATTAGCTACCGACTTGACGTTTGCAAGGACCAGAACATGAAAGTGGAATCACTCAGAGAAAAACATGGTATCACAGAAATCTGGAAACGCAACAGAAATTTCCTTCAGCAAGACCAACTCAATGACGCTGCAGAATAGTGTTTTCTATTCCTATTTTTCTTGGTAAGTGTAGTTCGCACCCGTTAAGACATGCCAAGAGAGACAAGAAAAGCAACATGTTAAGGTTGTGCGCAAGGTGACTGCTGAGGGTAAGCTGGAACCTGGCTGAAGCTCGTTAAAGCCTGACATGGACAAAGGAGTATTTTGTGAGCTGGGCTTCTTCTATACCTGGTCCTGGGCTGCTCCTGTGGCAGCCTGCCCCTCGGTCCCCGTGGCTCTGCCTGAGTCCCAGACGTGCCCCTCAGCCCCTCTGCCCAGGGGACTCACATAAGCAGTTCTGAGAAGGTGTCCCCCGTGCTGACCTCGCTCCGGTCACTGTTATTTCTGTGGCGGGGTCCTGTTCTGGGAGATGACGAAAATGACATTCGAGGGAGTCAGCATTTAAAATGGGTCGTTAGAGAGAAACGTCACAGGTGGCTTTGCTAAAGATAGCCCAGTGCTGAGTAAAACAGTGCCTCCAAAACCTTCATTTCACAACGTGCTCACTCAGCACGATAACTAACCCTTTGGCCCCAAACACCCCCCGGTGCCAGACAGCTCCTGCCACTTTCCTGGGCTCTCCATCGGTCCCTCCGGACCACGTCTCAGGAAGCGGCAGCAGGATGGGAACGTCTCTCTCTCCTCTGCCCATTCTCAGAAGAAAGCAACGTTTCCTAGAGCATGGACTCAGTTATGGGTGGTTTGGGGGACTAGAGGGGAATAGTGCCAGGGCGCTGAGGCTGAGAGTGGAGAGTGGTTTGGGGTGGAGGAGGAGAGCAGTGAGCTTGGTGTGTCCTCCTGGCGAAGCCAGGGTAAGGGGAACGGGTGGCACCGGGTTGCAGAGCTCTAAGTGTCTCCCCCACCATGGTTCCATCTTCCTTCTCTCTCTCGTGTTCACCCACACACTCACACCATTCTCGCACTGCTGATTCAGGGGAAAGAGAGAGGTTGATGCTTTCTGCTTGGACTGGGCACCACAAACTGTTTTTCTTCAACAGTAGGAAAAAAACACCTCCCGCCAACGGTGACAAGTTCTCCCCCATCTTCTCTCTTCCTCTCTCATGCGATCCCATGGGCTGTGTAACACAGAGGACATGAAGGACCACTATAAAGCAGTCCCCCCCAGGGACACCGAGGCGCACAAGGTTGCACTGGGTTCCTGTACACCAGTCCCACTCCTCAGGAGGCTGAAGAGCCGCATGTGATGAAAGAGATGAGAGCCATCACCACAACAGGGAGCTGCTGAAGTGAGGCGTACCACTTGCTCTCTTTTATCCTCCACCTTCAACCACCCAGCAGAGGAAAACTAGAGAGTGAGCAAGGATCCTTCCACAGTGAAGGAGTGGCCGCTCTGAGTCACCTCCCTCCCCTCATCCCCAGGAAAAGCCCCAGCCCAGCCTTCAGGGGACAAGCCATGGAGGGGCTCAGGTGTCTGAGACCCATCACCAAGGGCTGATTAAGTCCGAAAGAGTCAGAGCCAGTGGGTTGCTGGAAAGTGTGAGCCACAACAGTGGGGGTTCTCTGAGGTAAAAGGGGCCCCAGGATGGAAATGTATTGCACAATGAAAATCTCAGCAGCTACACGGGAGCTATGATGAGCCCACCTCAGTGCACGAGCTCAGGTGGGTTTTCCCCAGCCCTGGTGGAGGAGGAGGGTCCCTTCCTCACACCCCTCGCAGTGCCACAGCGTGCAGCCCCTCTTCCCAGGGCTGGTTGCTTCTCCTGGATGCTCCTCTCTGTCTCCTCAGACCACCTCAGCTTTGTCCCACACTGCCCCTGGGTTACGGATTGATGGGTTACATGTGCCCTGGTTGGAGGTCACCATAAACCCTTTCCTGCCCTGTGAACTGGCAGCCAAGAAGCCAAAAACTCAGCACATTTGAAGGATTAAAGAAGACCAAAAAAAAAACCCAAACAAAACAACAAAAAAACAGAAAAACAAAAACAACAACAAAAAAGAACAGTAGGAAAGAGACCAACATGTTCTCAAAAACCCTGTAACAATTACAGACAAACTGTAAGAGGCGGAAAGATGAAACCAAAAAAGGTAAGAGATGAAAGAAAAACATGAAGGGCACTTGCTGGGAAGTGTCTTCTACACTTTTTCCATTGTCTATATAGAAGCGAAACTTGTGAGAAAAACAACAGCGACCCGAAGAATTTCCACTAAAAGTTGCTTAGAGCAGTGTCTCCGGTCCCTCCCTCCCCTCTCTCACTGGCTTCAGCTCTGCCTTCACGTGCCTCAGACTTACACGGGTTTCTTGGTCGTGACGCACCTTCTTAGTGATATGAGGAAACTAACTGCCCACCTGCAATATAAGGGCACCTAGGGAAATACTTTGATCAGAGAGAGAGAGAGACAGCACGACAAGCAAGCACGTCCAGCTGACACCCCCTCCTCCACCCTTGGTTCATCCACCCACTTTTAAGATCTTCCTCGCCCATGCCTCATTTTTGCTGACCTCTTCAAGCTTCTGACCTGATCGAGCACAGACCTGAGTGGGAAGACGCGGCCCCCCGCCTCTCCTGGATGCCACCATGAGGCTGGTGTCCCTGGTGCTCTTCCTCACCTCTACTCTGCTGGCTTTCGATGGTAAGAGGGGCTGAAGGTACCAGGGAGGGCAGAGTAGCTCAGTAAGCTGAGTCGGGGTGTTACTTCATCCCTGGTAGGTCTGGAAGGGAGAATTTGTACCTTTCTAACCCCTCCAGAGATGGTCAGGTAGTGCCTTCTGCTCAGTGACTCCCACCCTTTGCTCAGCTCTCTGTCTCCTTACAGCTGGCCACGCACTTCTAGGGCTAGTGGAGGGGGAAAGAAGGGGGCAGAAAGTGTGGGCCAGAGCGGGGAGTTCGGCCGTCCTGCCTTGCCACCTGAACCCCAGAAAGATGCGGAAGAGCTGGAAGCAGCTGCCTGACAAGACATCCGTGCTGTGGAAGCGGCTCGGGGGAAGGTACGCCAGGGCCGAGACAGACCTGTGTCCTTGAGGGGACTGGGGAGGGTGGGAGACACTTTGAGCCCCCCCTTTCTCCTTCCCCAACCTTCTTGCCCCCCTACTCTTGATCTCGCCTTCACCTCTGGCACCAGCTGCTCACTTGCTCCTCTCCCCAGTGCCCACCAGGAGCCACACGTGGTGCTGGAGGTGGGCTACTCCGGCCTCCGGAAGACAGCGCTGCCCATGAGACCCCGGGTGTCGGTCCAGGACTCTGCCTTACGCCATGGCAACTTCTCCCTGCACATCAACCCCGTCCGCAGCGAGGACGCTGGGCTCTATGAGGCACGAGTGGCATATGACACGCAGGTCCGGAGCTGCCAGGTGGAGCTGGGGGTAGTCACAGGTAGGAGAAGATGGACACCCTGGAGAACGTTGATTTTAGGTCCGGGGAGGCTGTAAGGGTGGGATGGGGTGGGAATGTTGTCTGCTCCGGAGATATGGCTGCCCAAGGGACAAAGCTAGGTCAGGAGGGGCACAAAGGGATGGTTTGGTAGTGCCCCCGTGATCACAGCTTCCCCTCCCTCCCCTCCCTTTCTTTTTCTGGCAGTAACCATCAGTCCACCCAGCCCGGTGGTAGAAAACGAGCCACTCTTGTTGAGCTGCAACTCCAGCCACCGGGCCAGCCTTGTGGAGACGTGCTGGTTCCACAACGGGCGGCCAGTCCCCACCTCCGGGTCCACCACCTTCTGCTCTTCACATGGGGCTCTCTCCATCCTCCGGCCAGCCATGAGTGATGCGGGCTCCTGGCGCTGCCAGCTCAGATACTCCGATAACGAGATCATTTCTGCCATGTACAACCTGAAAATTCTAGGTGAGCTTCGCCTCTGCATTGCTGCTCCAGCATCCCCAAGTCACTCCCTTTGATGTGACCGACCAACCCCAGTGTCTCCAGCTTCCCAGCTCCCACCCTGTCCTCACTTCCCAGGCCAGTCAGCTCCCGGTGGAGCTCTTTCCAACCACCAACCCACATTGTCCTCTCTCTTTGGCTCAGGTTTTGATGGCCCAGCTGACCCGGTAGTCTATGCTACAGCTGGGTCTGCAGCTGATCTGCCGTGCACCTTGAACTACCCTCCCAATACCTTTGGGATCAATGTGGTGACAGCCCACTGGAGCCACCTTGCAGGAGGACACTTGCAGGACCGGGGTATCTCTCAGAATTCGAGCAGCAGAAGCTTCCCCCTTCATCTCCCTGCAGTGGGGCCAGGTGATGCAGGGCAGTACCACTGCGCTGTCTCTGTTGGCAGAAAGACAATCAGCAGGGACGTGACCTTGGCAGTGGTTACAGGTGAGAGGAGAGACAGGGAGATGCAGCACCCTGTCTGGGGTCCCCCACTGCTTCCAGATAAGCCTCCCCACACATCAAGTGCAGTGAGCACGGGTTGCTCTTGCTCATAAGTTCTCACCCCAGAGTAGGAAAAAAGGTGCAATTCAGGGCATTGCACTGCACTGGACTCTGCTGAAAGCAGGGGGTTTCTCGGGTAACTTGATTATTCTTCTTAAGACCGAGGAAAACAAAGAAAACAAATTAGAGGAACTAATAATGGAGGGGTGTATTAGAAGAAGGAGGGATGGGGAAGAGAAGTGGAGACCTGCCTGCAGTCAGTCTTTCCTGAGAATGGTTTTTTCCTTTGCTGCAGTCACCCCGAGCATCCAAGGACCGGTTTCTGAGGGGTCTCGCTTGCTGCTCATCTGCAGCCTCACGCACCGCCGGGGACATGAACGTTTCCAATGGAAGCACCTCGACTCAGCCCCCACTAACAGCAAGGGGGCTGTGGCCATCTCCCGTCACCTGGAGGAGCACAGGTCCCAGACGGGTCGTATCTTGGAAATAACCCGAGTGTCACAAAAGGATATGGGCACATGGGAATGCAGTGTATATGGCCCAGAAGGCAGACTGGCAGCAGTGCAGTACGAGCTGCAGATCACAGGTACTCCTCCCCATGGATCTGTAACCGATCCCTTCTTCTCACCCTGTTCAATCTCCTGGTGCCCTTTCCTCTCTCAGCCTCACCCCTTCCTTTTCCCCTTTGATCCCATCGTGTTGTCATCCTGTCTTAGCTCTCACCAGTTCCTCCTGTTTCTCCTTCCCGCACCCTTTTCCAGTTTGCCTCTCTTTGTGCAGTCCCAGCCTTGCCCCCCAACGTAAAATCAACCTTCCCCTCCTTCCTAACTGTAGTTCCTCCTCACAGGTGCCCAAGTCTCCAACCCTCCCACCATCTTCAGCGGGCAGGTTACTTTTGGCCTCACGGTCACCCTCTTCCTCCTGCTTACGGTCTGTGTTCTGGCTCTGGCCCTACAAAAAAGGGTAAGTGTCCATCACTCTGTTTCTGTTAGCTTTCCTGTACAACATCCCTTATTTGACCTTCCCCTGGGTACGCTAGAGACAGCAGCAGAATGTCTCAGGGACACTGCAGCCAGAGGAAGAACGGGGCTCGGGCAGCCTGATGAGGGTGTCAGGGACACGTAGTGAAAGCTCCATCCTGGGCATTGACAGGTCTGGCTAACCCTGGCATTCGTCTGGGGGGAGGTAGGTCAGATACTTCAGAGGAAGGGTAAAACCACCTACCAGACGATCACATCCCAGCCTTGAAAAGCTTCTTGTTTATTCTCGCAGAGATCAAGCCACGCTGTAATAGAGGAGGGTTAATTTCCAGGCTGTTGTAGGTGTCCTCTCCCTCATCCCTTATCTGGATTCTCTGATGTAACCAGTCTCCTGTTCCATATCAATGCCTGCTGGTCCCCAGACGCCAATCTCCATGCAGGTCTGCTGCTGCTGGCTCAGCCCTCACACCTCGGCTGTCTGCTTCTGGCCACTTACTGCCCTTCATTTGCTCAGCTCGTTCCAGTATCTCGTCTTCTGAAAACTCTGCCTTGCCTTTATCATCCCAAAGAGCAGCCCAGGACTGACCCCTCCCCATTGAAAAAAAAAAAAACAAACCTGTGCAAACAAGTCAGACCATTTCTCGGCAGTTTTCATACCGTTTCTCCGCAAATTAATTGCGTGGCAAATTCTTCCTTCAGGGTTTCTCTTTGCTGACAAGGGACTTCTTTTGTGAGTAGCCTTCCACTCAGCTTCTTGGAAAGGGGCCACAGTGAAAACCCCCTTCTAGCGCAGAAGGGGCCAGGGCTCAGAGTGATCTCAGGTTGGGAGAACTTGCCCTGGGGAAAAAGCTGGGTGCCTGCAACCTGCCTTGAGCTGAAGACGAAGGATGCGACAGCACCGATGCAAATTCTTAGCAAACCCTGGTGGCTGGACAGGCAAGATGGACCTTTTTTAAAAAAAAACACTGTGGGTAGCGCTAGAGAGACTCATGACTAGTTCTTTGTCATCAGCTCCTCATCAGCACTGATGGTGAAAGATAATCTAAGGCAGAGATCTACAGTTTCTGGGTGACTCTAGACTGTGCAAGTCGAGGACAGAATGATCAGAACCACACTTTCTGGCCTAAAATGTCAGACAAATAACCCTTTACAGGGTAACTGTAAACCCTCAACTAGCAGGAAACAGGATACCCGGGCGTCCAGCTCTGCTAGTTTAAACAGCTCTAATCCAGCCAGGATACTTAACTGTTGCCTCGAAACATTTCCTCACAGCCTTGCTTTGCCAAGCAAGCAAAGCTCCTCTGTCGCAGCAGAGGTCCTCCACCCACCGATGGTTGTCCTGCCCTTCTCTGCACGGTCTCCCCGGTGGGCTTATCCTTTGTGAGAGTGGAGATGAGGTGCCTCCAGCAAAGACACTAGCTCTTCTCTTGTTCTCTCCCTCTCTCTGCTGGCACTCTCTGAGATTACATTTGCTCTTCTTGCGTTGGTTGAACACTGGCTGCTCACCGGTCCATTGCCCCCACATTAGGAGTTCCTGTTCTGACCCCCTGAGCCTGCCAACGTGTGGTTAGTACTGGTGCCTTTCATTCACGCTGTCGTTCAGTTTTACCCCTCCCTTCTCCTAAAATATCTGGGTCTCAGGTGACATTTTCATCCTCTTTTCTTCCAAATGAGGCTCCTCATTTTTATCAGCTGCATATCCCATTAGCACTTTCACACTCCCTGTGCCATTAATGATTGGTCCCACAACTGATCTTTGAAGACTTGCGCTTATCATTTCTCTACAGCCCGGCAGAAACCTGTCAGCAAAATCCCAGTCCCTTCCTCCTAGCTGAGATCACACCTACCACGCCATTCTTCTACTAATCTCATCTTTCCAGTTGTATTGATTGCCTGTGTGTCACCGTATACCTTGCTGTTATCAGGAGCCCTGAGATCTACCTCTTTTCCACTGTCTAGAAAGTCACTTGTTAAAGCAATCTGTGAAAGTGGTTCGGTCTTTTTAATTTGTTCTTATCTCATTTTGCCTGAACCTTCAGGCCTTTAATTATTCTGTCTGAACAGGTGTTGTAAAATCTGGCATGCCGTTGAACCTGACAATGACCTGGCCATTGCCCAGATCATTCTTTGCTCTCACTTAAGCAAGTCCTGTCTTTCTTATTCCTTATGGCCGTGACACCACAGAGGATGGTGTTGAGCCGACCTTCCCCAGAAGAAACCGTGTGTCTCAAGAGAGTGGGACCCTGGCTCTTCCCTAGCTCTAGGTGGGAACGGGAGCCTTGTGGTTGCAAGCAGTAGGACCTTGTCTTCCAGGGCAGGGAGGAGCCCAGACTTGTGCCATTCAGTCTTGCTTCCATGGCTGATATTGCCCCTTTCTTTCCTTTCAGGCACGGCCTCCTGTCTTCCCAGCGCTGGAAGGGATGGTTGCAGTCACTGTGCCGAAGAAGGAGATGGAAGAGAACCAAAAAGAGAAGATCCAGCAAACTGAGTGCTGACGGGAGAGGGGACACTAGGCCCGGTCTGCATGGGAGGATGAAACTCTGCATGCCATGCTGCAGAGAGATGGGCACCATGCAGAACCTCTCAGGAGGGCTGTAGGGATGGCATGAACATAGCAGGAGGCCATGCGAGCGCTGTACTTGCAGAAGGGCTGGAAGCTGCATACCAGGACAAGAGGAGACTCGCTGCTGCAGTAAGGTGGCAGGCAGCACAGATGCTTTGGAGATATTGGAAGCATTTGAGCCAGTAGCTATTGCCCGCTTCAGTGCCACTTCTCTCTCCCACCCTTTGCCCCTCCTTCACATGCTCTCTCACAGCCTTTCACTGGTGGGACACTTGAACGTGGGAGACCCCTGGAACCCAGCTCCCCTGCAGCCCCATGGTGTCTTCTCTCCTCTGCCCACTTTCTTCTCCCTTTTCCCCACACTGCCCTGCTCCCGCGCTCACTCAGTGGCAGAGGGGACCCCACAGAGGACTGCACATGTTGCACACTTTGAGCGTTTTATTTTATCAGAAACTCATTTTAGAACCTAAAATAAATCTGTCTGACAAAAAAAAACTGCTGGTCCCTGCGTGTGCTTGTGGAGGATCGTGCCTATTGACAGTGCCGGGTGTACCTGTCGGCGTGAAGCAGCTTCTAAGGACTTTGCTGCCTTCTCTTTCTCTTTCAGTTCTGTTTTACTGAAGTTGGCTGTTCATTTCTGACATTTTGACAGCGGGGAAGGGGAAATTAAATGCCACCAGAGAAGAAAGAATCACAGGTTCCCTCTCTCCTTTCTGCTGTGCTTCAGAGCCTTTTTTCTTTCTCCTGTCTGCCTGCCCCTGTTCATTCATTCATTTATCCCTTTAGTCCTCACCTTTTCCTGATAGAACTTCAGTTGATGTTAGGGGTCTCTGTCACTGTCCTCTGGCTAAGGATGTACTTACTTATGTGAGTCCACCAGGTCCCATCTCCCACAATCCTCAAGGGGTTTAGGTTTCACTTAGAGAATTCTCTTCACCTCCTTTCTCAACAGCCATGGAGGACTCTAGTACTGCTCTTGAACAGTCATTGCATGCCACCCCAGAAGAAAGTCCCACTAGTACAGAGAGTCACACATGTAGCTTTTCACATCTGGGTTACTGGGCAGTGGCTGCTCAAGGAGGCGGTGGTACAAAAATGAAACTCTCGGTATCTAGGATGAGAGATTCTCTTGGCTTGAGCAGAGGGCTTCACTACCAGGCCAGCTTTTCACACAAAGAGGTGTTCTTGCTGTGTTGCCCTCACTTTCCCACCAGGAGCTTCAGGCACACGGGTAATTAATGGACTCTGGGATGCTCAGACTGCAGGTAGTAGAGCAGCATCTAAAAAGTCCCAACTAGCTCACTCTAGGGAGCCTGTCTGGACTCCACAGCTCTTCAGCTGCTCAGCTAGCCACATATTTTACTGTAAAAGATACCCATTTCTCCACAACTTCCTGGAGAAATGCAAACAGAGGTGCGAGGTAGACTGGTTTACTTCAACTATCTCATGCAGTTTCAGGGAGATAATGAAACAGAGACCCCATAACAAAGGACAGTCCAGCCCGGTACCAGGCATTTTCCTAGGCAAATGATAATGCTGCAGTTTTTTCAGGTTGGAGTGATCTGTCTAGCTTAGTCTCCTCTCTCTGCCAGATGCTCTGGAGACAGAGAAGAGATGGGTTAGTCAAGAGGTAGCATTAGAGATAGAGAAGAGGTGACATTAAGGGCCAATCCAATATACAGCAGGACCACATCATATTCCCTCAATGCCTGATGGTGGTTTTCTCTCTCTTCTCATGCACAATGGGATGCTCTCTCCTCCTGTAGGTAATACTTTTAGCATTGCCTGTTACCAGCCTGGATGTTCTCATTGCTCAGATGTCTGGCCAGTCTCTCTTTAAACCTGACTGTTTTATTGTACTCTCTCACTTCCTCTGGCAATCAGTACTCAGATCTGCTTATTCACTGCGTGAAAATGGTTCCTCTTTATCAGTTTTGAATTCAAAGCTTCCCACTTTCATCATCTGTTTTCTTTTCTTGTGTCACAAAGGCTGGAAGAAGAGGGACTCCCAATCTATCGTTTCTCAGACGGTCATTATTCTACAGCCTTTTATCACATCCCTTTTTTCTTATTTCCCCAACCCCTCCTGACTCATTGCCCTTCAGGTACAAACCCAAGATTTTGGGGACTTTCTCCCTGACAGTTTGCTCAGGCCCATCTCTATGCATGGCCAACCTTCCTGGGTTCCTTTCCTCTGCAAGAGGAGGCCACAGCCCAGTGGGGGAGCAGGGCTGGTTTACATGGAGGCAGTGGTGCCTTTCTCCACATTATTTCCATCCTGCCCTTCATGGCTCCTGACATCTCATCTGCTCTTCTGACTGTCACTCCCCACTGAGAGCACTGAGCTTGTTCACTGTGTCCTCAGTGAGGTGCCTGTTGTGATGCTTGGGGCTCTTGCCTGACCTGCTACAGTTAGAGTAAGCCAAAGCCTGGAAGTATTTAGGCAGGTTGCATTTTCCCTCCAGCTACGTGACTTTGGGAGCAGTGACGCTGAATCTCATTTGCCTTCCTGTTGCTGATGAGCACAGCTTTCTTAACGTGTCTCCAAAGCTCTTGTCATTCTTTCGCCTCCTGACAGGTTTAAATAGCTCCGTGTCATCTACATACTCGGTCTTCTTGCTGCTTGCCGCCTTGAACACTAGTAAATCTTGTCTTAATTCAGGTGCTTTTGGGCCTCACAGCTGTCTCCGATGACAACTGGCGGTGTAATCCTTCTGGCTTCCTGCCCCAGTCTCAGGTGCACATCAGAGCTGTCCCACTCTCCCCATGTGGGCTGAATCCATTGCCCCCGTTAGCCCTGCAGCTCCCAGGGGGCAAGGAGAAGGTGTGAGCTGTTCGAAGATGCAAAACACAAGCTGAGCGCTGGGTTATTTACTGTAACACAGGCACTCTGGCTTCATGACTCTTCACCAAGAACTGGTGATACACTGCCAGACCTGGGTAGGCAACAGGCACCTCCGCAGTCACTGTAATACCTGTACCAGGTCCCAAAGCTACTTAATAGAGAGGACAATGTTGGCTGAGGTGCACAATCTGGGTAGGTTAGGGTGACACCATCTACAAAGGCTACAAGGCCTCAGACACGGTTGCATATAAATACAAGTTCCATCAGTGCTGAGAATGGTACCCAAAGCTTCAGAGGTGTTGCAGTCTTGCTTTTGTACTTCACACACATGAGCATTACTGACAAAATACAGACAAAGTGACAAGCGTGGCCATTGAGCCGTTTCATTTGACAGACCTCCAGGAAAACTGCTCAAAAGCCAACCACCACCAATGCAGAAGTCTATGGCCACAGCAACATTTACATCCCAAATGCTGCAGGATAAAGAATGGACTGGTGCAACATGAGGAAGTGGGAAAACATTTCCGAACACCGAGGGAATCCAGATGGCACAAGACAAATCAGTACAGCTGAAGTGGAAGGACCAAGAGTCTGTACAGTGAAGCAAACAGATCTGGAAAACTGTCCCAGGTGGAGTCAATGAGCAGAGCAGCAAATAAAGCAAACATCATATGAAGGGAAAAGACCTGTTGCTTTTCCACAAGGATACAGCTACAGGTGCAAAAATCAGATAAGTATTTTCAATGAACCAGAAGCCGAAAGCTTGAGAAAAACACAGGAAACCCAGTGGATTCCCTTTTGGCAAGGGGTAGAAGTAATGGAAGGCAAAGAAAGTACTATGCATATAAATTCTTTTGCATCTTACTCCTCCAAAAGGAACAGGAAGAGGATCTTCAATCCCAAATTAATCCTTTTTGATAAGAAACACCAGCACTATCAGAAAAAAAATCATGACTACGTCCAAGTGTTTTGCATCCAAGATTTCTGAGGGATTTCAAATGAGTGGCTAAATAAGTGCTAGCGAATAGTGTAAGCTGACAAGCAACTAGAAACAACACATCTGTTGGGCTCTTGGTACATTCTGCACAGAGTTTTAAAAATAATAAAAAATGAGAACCAGATCTTGAATTATCTAGGGCACGAAGGCACGCTGAGTTTTACATCTGCTTGGCAAATTGGTGGGAACGATATCAGCACCAGCTCTGCAAAAACGGTTCCCCATGCCTCCCTACTCTGCCTGCGTTTCTTCAACGCTTCGACGCAGCAGTAATTAAAACCAAAATCATTTTGCCTTCCAAAGGGTCCCTCAAACCAAGCTCCTTGCGGGAACGCTGTTGTTGTAGGTGCCACCCACTGAGACCCAAGGTATCTTGGACAGTCGTTAGATAGTTGTTGGCTCTATCATGGAATCGTCTAGACTGGAAGGGACCTTTAAGACCATTAAGTCCAACGGTTAACCTAACACTGCCAAAACCACCGCTAAACTACATCCCCAAGCACCACATCTACCTGTCGCTGGAAGGGACCTTTAAGACCATTAAGTCCAACGGTTAACCTAACACTGCCAAAACCACCGCTAAACTACATCCCCAAGCACCACATCTACCTGTCTTTTAAATACCTCCAGGTATTTAAATTCAATCACTTCCCTGGGCATGCTCCAGAGCTGCTTCTCCTCGATTTCCATCTTGCTGGCCTGCCGGTTTGATGCAACTCATTCTAGCTCTCAAAGGCCACATAAGGTGTACCTCTGAAACGGCTGTTCCTCCCACCTGAAGGGACAGGTTTCGGAGGTAAGAGGACATAGGATGCTCTCTGTGTTTAGGAAAGACGGCAGGAGGTGATGCACACGGGCAGCTTTTGGAAGGACTTGGTATTTCTCATGAATATTGAGGTTTCTCATGTTCTTCTTTTACCAATACCGGGCCTCGTCTTCTCTTGTCACCAGCTCAGCATCCCCCATTTTTCATGGAAACCAACACAGTGTTTTGGACCGAGGAGGTCCAGGAGGAGGAGGAGGAGGTCCCCGAGGAGGGGAGCAGACTCCCCTCGAAAGCTTTGGGGGATGGCAGGAGCTCAGCCGGCACCTTCGAAATC